CCCAAATATTCTTCCTCTTTGCCCTCTCCCCCTCCTCCAGGCCAAGCACAAGCGTACTCTGCTTTTAAATCGGATATACCGAGTAAAGGGCATGGCCCGGTGGCTGGTTGCCCTCACGCGACAGCAAGCGTTTTCCTGGCGCGCGGGGAAGCGCAGCCGTCTCCTTGCTGCTTCACCCGGCAAAACGCTCGGCCCCCCGCAGCCAGCCCGTTCACGCGGCGCCCCTTTACCTGCAAAGGTGGGAGCCAAACTCAGTGGGTCTGCTCACAGGTTTAAGCAAAGCCAGCGATGAAGGAAGGGCCTTGCTGCCTCAGGTCCCCGAGCGTTTCGCAAGGCACAAAACCCCAAGGGATGACAAAGGGCCGAGGGCCTGATCCTCGGCCCGTGTAAAGGACGTGTTAAGTGACACACCCGTCGTGCAAGCATCCACCATGCCAAGGCAAAAAACCAAAGGGAAACAGGCAAACGCAACTGCTAAGTAAATCAGCTGTTGGTAGTCACTAACCCAGTCTTGATGACACGCTTAGGCACCTTTTACCCTAAAGCTTCTATTTCTATTTCCAAAAGCCATTTCTATCCCACTGCAAAGAAGCACTTGGCTGTCTGTGATATCAAACCTTAGCCTTTTCCCCCCTGTAGCCATTTCGATCACATTTTGAAGGACTAGGGAGCTGCTGTTAGCCAGCGGTCGCCCACACCTACTGTTACAGCCCCCAGCCAAACAGGACTCACCACGCAAGCTGTCCCGGGCCGGACAGGAGGCAGATACAGTGTGGGGGCAGCACTGCCCCCAGCTCAGGCTGGAGGACACGCACCTGGGGCAGAAGCCCTTGAGTGGCCACAGGTGCAGGCCAGGAAGGGCTGCTCAGGGCCAGCTGCCAGCCAAGGGGTGGGGGTGAGCCCTCCTCAGCAAAGCTGCCGTGCCAGAAAGGCTCAGGGGGTTTCTTCCAGTTAAATCGGTTTTGCAAGCATAGCTGATGCGGCGCTTGTATTATTCTAATGTGTAAGGCACCATAGCTAATATCCTAGGGAGGCTACTGTATCAGGCTCATGTCCCAGCTCTCTCCCCCGCAGGCGGCACCAGGTGAGAGGCGCTGACTGCACCTGTGCTGGGAGGCCTGCTCAGACCAGTGCAGCCTCTAGTGGAAACCTGGTGATCGTCTCTGAAGAGTTACCCTCTCTGCACCTGTGGGCGAGGCAGACCTAACTTCCCATCCCCTCAACTGGAGGCTTGCATGATACTGGCGCATCAACGCGACTTAACTAATGCAAAGCACTTCTGCCTGTGCAAAACTCTTCGCATGACTCACCACGTCCTTCCTTAGCCCTGAGCGGGGAGAGCTGCGGCTGAGGTTTCGCCCCCATAGTTTCTGTGTACAGGACTTCCTGGATATAGCTGTTCATGCTGAAAGAGTAGGGGAAAAAAAATCAATCAAGACAAAGGTATAGCCTGCAATCTTCTAGATCTCAGCTGTTATTCCTGGCATTCTTAATGTTCAGAGGGAAGAAGCAGATCCCCTCACTCATGCAAGTTTCAAAAGTCCTGCAAATAAATCCATACTAAAGCATATTGCTAGTCCTTTATTCTAGAGACCTCCAGGAACTGACTGGGGCTCTCTGAGGCCCTTTGGCAGGAGCAGCACATCAATGCGATACAGGTGTTACAAAAACAATTCATGTCAGCTGTGGGCAATTTGTCATATCACATAGGAAGAGAACATATACAAGTAGACACAGAAATTAGGTTAACTTTTCTCCTGTTTAAAAAACAATGTGTTGAAACACAGCTATATAGCTCCCCAAAGAAAACAAACATCTTCTCGTACAACAATAAGAACTACAAGAACAAGTGGTGGGCTGCTTTTTCTTTCTTTTTTTTTTCTTTTTATATATAATTTTCCAGTACGGCCTGATCCTTCCCCCCGTTTTGTGATTAGCACTACTGACAACTGATGCAAATGTTACCTGAAGAGTCAAGAGACTTGCTGTGTCCAGAAACCCCCAGAAGGGCTAGACTGGGGTAAATTCTGCCATTCTGAAGACTCCAACCAAAAGCAAACAATTAGAGACAGGATAAACCATTATAAGATAAGGGGAGGGCAAGAGTCTCTTTAAACCTCTTAGCCTGAAGTAGACAAATGAAGTGACTCCAGGTATCAGAGCAGCACTTCTCCTTGCCTACATGCAGCACTAAACCCGCTTAATCCCAAAATGTGATTTGCAGCTGAGGCTCTAAGCCGAGAGATGTGTGCCAGCATTTGTTCTGCCTGGGAATCAAAGCGAGCTACTCTTCCAGAAGATTTTTGCATGTGTCTAGGAAGGGTATCGACAATCATAACCAAACCAGCTTCAACAGGGTGCCAAATTATCACCCATCTTCTAAGCTATGCAGTAAGCGACACGCTCCTAGCCGGTTGTGACTGTCAAGCGGGATGCGTTGGCTTCGCCCGTTTTACTCGAACGAGCTCGGTGAGGCTATTTCAACCACAGCAATGCAAAAGCATTCCCGTACGGTTTCAGCCTCAGACCTGCAGATACGCAAGCAGTCGCTTCATGTTAGTTGAGAGCGTTCTGCTGACTGCAAGAAAAATGTTTACAGGGTGAGCGCTGACATTTCTAAGACAAAAAAACCCTCTATTTTATATCAACGCTAGGCTTGCAGAAAACAAGGTGATATGATGGAAAGCTGTAAAATGCATCCTGCTTACACCTAAGTCCATTAAACTGAAACACCTTCATAGTGATGTTGTCATTTGCCACAGTTATTTACTTGGATTTTTTTATCTTCACAATCTACCCTCCTCTCTGCTTTGTGATCACAATTATATCATTATGCTCCATTCCTTTAATCTCTACCACTTCCACTGACAGCGTGCTGATATCAAACACAGCGTTGTGGCTGCAATTCAGGGCTCATCAGAAGAAGAGGGAGAAAACTATTTATGCCTTCAAGGACTGTACCAAAAAACCTGCTGGATAATCTGCTTTTTGATAAAAATGTCAACTTTTCAGGTATTGCATGAGCCTTCTCGTTTCCCCAGCACCTGCGCCCTCCTCCTCCAGATGAACACCGCTGATGGGCTCTAGCCATACTTTCTGAAAGCATACCACAGGTAAAACCAAAAGCAAGATGCGGTATAGCATGAAAGCGCGGTTACTTCTGCTGCCGCCTAAGGAACCCCACATCTTGGCACGCTGGAAAACTTCTCTGACACGTTGCCTAAATTGTAACTTCTAAGCTAGAAACTTACAGTTTCTTTTAGGGGGCTGCTCCCACCACTCTGCAGGATACAGTGTAGCCGTCCTGCAACTCCACAGGGTGATTTAGCAGGCTGACAGCATGATAATGTATGGTGGCAGAAACCAATGGGGCAGAATCAGCCATCTGAAAGCACTGCCACATACAGCTTATATGGCCAGTACTCTAGCACGCGTCCACTCTTGCAAGCGTTTGCTGCATCTGAACCTTAAATGCTACCCTATGGGACTGAGTTACCTAAACGCAAATCACAAGCCAGCACCCGTGACCTATCGCAGACGCTGCCTTGGCTTTGTGAAGGTTGCACGCGCTTCTGGGTTTGCAGTCGCTGGAAGATACTCTGGCTGCCTAGCTGGCAGGCAGCTAAAAATATTTGCGGATACCTGCGGGGGCCGGCGGTAGAGACGACCTCTGGAGTGTGAGTTGGGACCTGACCCACACCCCGTGGAAGCCAGCAAGTCTACACTGACCGCGCTCCCTCCGTGCCCCTTTCCTGACTGCACATAGGAAAAAAAAATGGCGTGTCCTCTCTGCTACACTTCCCACCAATACTTCATACCCCAAGTCCATGGGGCAGGGTTTGTCACCTGCTTGGTTTATACAGGGCATGGTGTCCGCCGGGGCGCTGAGCTTATCCATTCTTCCTGGCTGTAACACACACACTAGTAATAATAACCTTAGCGACACAAAATAAATTAGACCCCCACTGTCGAGCAAAACGTGCATCCAGCCCACCATCAGCCACCCAGGGAACACAGATACGAGATATAATTTGACTTCAGGCACTATTATTTGCAAGTGGCTGTCGCGCACGCAACGCCCACCCGCAGAAAGAGCTGCCCGTCAAGCCCGAACACCAGCCAGGTCACGTTCACTTCTGGCGACTGCCACTTTTTACGAGCGGCAAAATCACAGAGGCAGGGGCAGCAAGGGCAGGTTGCTCCACTCCGCGCCGCGTCCGGTCGGATTTTGGGCGTCTCCGAAGCCGGCGGCTCCGCACCCTCCCTGGGCAAAGTGCTCCAGTGCTCGAGCAGCCTCACCGAGCGTTTTATATATGTATACCGCTTAGCCGCGACCTTCGCGCGGGCCACTCTCCCTGGGCAAAGCGCTCCAGCGGCCTCACCGTGATTTCTTTTTTTTTTTAATTTTTTTTTCTTTACGCTTAGCTGCGATTTCCGCGCGTCCGCGCCGAAGGGGGGAGCTCCCCGCGGCGCCG